TATCCCAGTTTGTAGAAACGTCGGATGTAAACGTTTTTCTCTGTAAAAGCAGTCATTGAAAGTGTAGTGAGGTTTGGCTCTTGCATCGAACACTATCTTGACTTTTGCGGAAGCTGCATCTTCTCTGATCAGTGGCTTGTGTGGCATATAGAACAAATGGTTATCTGTAGGACGATCAGCAGCCTTCTCAATGACTCCTCTTTCTTACTGGATGTCTACAATCTTCCCATACTCTTCTTTAGCTTCTTGTTTTGCCCTAACCGCTTCCCCACTCGTTGTGGGCACTCTCTGCTTTGGATCTCGTTGGTCTCCGCTAAATTCCGTCCTGGAATCCAGGGAACGTTGACTTCCTAGCTACCTTCCATCTGCTTTTGTAGAAATGTTCTCAACAAACTCGGTGTGTACGTCCAGCTGCAAGCTCTCTCCCAATCTTCTACTGCTAACACGTCCAAACTGTACAACCGATCGTAATCAATCGTTTTGCTGGTCATCAGGCATCTGCGTCATGGTCACCACCGAGAATGACCCTAACAAAGGTCGTCCCATCAACTATCGGCTCCTCAAGCTTCTGTTTAAAAACATCTTCCGTCTTGATTCGACAGTAGGTACTACCTCCTAGGATCGCATAGGTTGTCTAGCTACCTCCCCATTTTTCTTACAGAATCGCTTGTCCCTTGTGTGTTCGCAGTTCCATTTCAGGGTGCTTAGGTCTGGTCTCCGGATGGTCGTGGAGTCTGCCGTTTTTGCTCCAGTAAATTCCCGCCTGTCCATTCCTCGAATCTATGGTTAGTTCATAAATAGGAAGGGATTATTTTTGTGACTGTGACTTACTCAAAGTTACTATTTGCAGGGTTTCATTGCATACTGGGCTCAACATAAGCCTTTTGATTGCCTTCAGTGAGATGAAGTTCCTTCCAGATCCTATGTCAAGGTGAGCCTATAGCGATGTTCTATTTATCTTAACGGGGATTATAGTTGGGAGTGTCTTCTCGCGCGCCGGCGTGTATCCGGTGAGTAGAGGCTAGGATCACCATTTCTTTCACAACTGCTTGTGTGATGTCTCCCTTTGCATTTGAAACAGCCACGACTTCGACAACTACTGCCATTGTGTCCCACCTTTTTGCAATTGTAGCGCGGTCGATTATCCGCTAGAAACTTCCTTCTGGTCTCCAATGTCTTGTACGGTTCACAACGGTCTCCCTAGTACCTTTGTTTGCAGTAGAGATAAGTTTAGTTTGATCTCTGTGCGATGTGTGATTTCCTTCTCCGGTGTATCAGCGTCTCTTCTTCCTCTGACTAAGCTAGATACTATCCTGGGTTATGACTTGATTCACAGATTGTAATTTGAATTTAAGTAAACGATATATCATAAGTATAACGCGAATGTTATAGCTTGTGACTGAACTTTTAGTAAAGTTGAAGCTTAATTGTTATTATTCAATAACAACAAACTAAAGAAAACAGATTTAGATCAAAGATCCTCTTGACGTTCGATTAAAAATAAACAGTGATGGTCCATGCCAAAAAGCATCAAATTCGCCATGGGGCGAACTCAAACTTGACAAACATAATATGAAACAAAACAACTTAACAGTGAGGTTATCGACCTCATCACACAATCTTCAATCAAATACTTTCCCTGAATGAAGATAGGTTTAGTTCGTGTGCGTCGCCATTCTGGTTGACAAAACACGGGAAACGTAGTGAGGTATTGAACGGTGTTTATTTGTTGATAATTTTAGATCTATCGTTATGAGTTACATTTTTATTTCATTTTGCTTCACAGCGGTAATAATTGGGAAGATATTCAAAGAAAAAGCCACGATCTGACTGACCTTGATGTAGAGAATATTCGTGGACTGATGTCTTAATCCTATTCGTTATCAGACGTTCAATCTAGAAAACACTTCACAGCATGTGTAATAACTGACCTATATCAGACATTGACGACATTGCTGAAAGATGAACATGACGAGTAGCAAACACAACTGACCTCGAGTAAAGACCTCTGAATCCAACTGAGAAGAAACTTGCCCGAACTTCTTGCTCTCTCATAATGCAAACTTCGGTCTTTTTGGCAAATTTTTGTAGACCTTAATTAATTGTGGCCAAAGTGAGATGTAAAAAAAAAATTGTCCAGCCTAGTCTGCAGACAATATAGACATGATGATGGATAAATTTAAGAGGTTTGTCAACGGAATCAATTTTGAAGGTATCTACAAAAACTGTGAGTGATAAGTGTTGTAATAATCAAAATATCCTCATTTTGATGGCTCTTGTAGTGATAATCACTGAAAACACACTTCACATGCATCAATAATAATAATAAAAACCATTTAAGGATCTAATGTTAGACTTGTATGTCAGACAGCGTCATGTTAAACACATGTTATCGTTCAAGTTTCCAAGCTATTTGTCAACCAGCTGTACAAAGATGTCTCTGGTGATTTTTTTTTTTTTTTCAATTGTTTTTTGTTCTTATTGGTTTGAAAGATAAAAGTGACTTAGCATAATAGACAACCGCAAAGTGTTAGCTTGCTAACAAAATCAGCTTGGAATTTTCATCTTTGTTGATTCGAAGATATTTATTTTTCATTTACAAAAGCTGTTGATAATTTGGTATTTTCCATTGTTAAGAAAATTATAACTTCACACTGTTTGAGGTAAAATATATGGATTAGAATGAAGTTAACAAGCAAAAATGTTAACAGCCAATTGGGGAGTGCTAACATCCGCGAATTCGAAACTTAGGGTACGGTGATTGTATGTACGATCTCACCTGTGAGAAAGATATTTTCTCGCATCTGGTTTGTGTTGTCCAATATCCATTGAAACTAACACTTCCATGTGTAATATCGGGTCGACCTTGAAAGGCCAGCCAGTTGATAATTCCACTATCATTTGATGGAATTCCCGACTCGCGGACACACACCTCGAACCCACTTGTAGTGACAGAATGAACCCACAAAGCTGAAGGCGAGTGAACATTTAAAAACTGCTCGCCATGACTCAATGTAACGTGAACGTGAACCTGGAAGTTAATTTAAAGGTAACATAAAATCAAATAAACATATAATGTAAAAACAATTGGTAATGACGTTACTTGTGATTTGTAAACGGTCACTGACAGATACTGAACTGCTAGTGAGATTTTCAATCGCCATCAGAAAGGAAATCCTTCCTTTCAAAATTCGAAAAATAAAATAATTAAAGATAAAAAAAAAAAAAGGAAGGGATTGTATTCACCCTTAAACCCCTTCACTGTATACTGAAGATATAAACCGCACTTGCAATATCGTTAAGGAAGCAATTTGCCAATGCAGAGCCAGTTCTTTGTCTCTGGGGTCAGGTCTCGCGTCGAATACCTTGGAGGTTTAAATCACGTGGGATGACCTTGGGCTCGTACCTTTCCTGAGCCACTGAAAGCAACAGGAAATGCAATGTTTGTACAAGATTTTAATCTGCAGCCTTGAGGAAGAGAACATCCACTGTTGCAACTCCAGTCTGGTGAAGTCTGTGACATGTTGAGCTTTCCAGTTTGTATACAGTTTCCTACAAAGTAGAAATGAAATGAGGATAACTAGAAACTTGGGGACGGGACAAAATGCAACAGTTATCCTAACGAGCTCGGTGTTCCCAACAAGGCTTAAGCTGCTTTTCTGACCTTGAGTGCAATAATATTTTCCTTTAGAGAACACCCTGAGAGAAAGCGCGTACTAAGAGGTCTACTTCTAGAACTCAAAACATAACTAGCTCGAGGTATTTACGTAGTGATGGTGAGAGCAAAGAGAATTTGCAATTTAATATCGAGCACACGACAGATTTTTCTTTCTTTTCNTTTATTTGTTGATAATTTTAGATCTATCGTTATGAGTAACATTTTTATTTCATTTTTCTTCACTTTGGTAATATAATTGGGAAGGTATTCAAAGAAAAAACCACGATCTGACTGATCTTGATGTAGAGAATATTCCCGGACTGATGTCTTAATCCTATTCGTCATCAGACGTTCAATCTAGAAAACACTTCACAGTTATGTGTAATAACTGACCTATATCAGACATTGACGACATTGCTGAAAGATGAACATGACAAGTAGCAAAACACAACTGACCTCGAGTAAAAACCTCTGAATCCAACAGAGAGGAAACTTGCTCGAAATTCTTGCTCTCTAATAGTGCCAACTTCGGTCTTTTGGGGAAATTTTTGTAGACCTTTTAGTATTTTAACAAACAACGGCGCAGCTGAGTTAATTGTGGCCAAAGTGAGATGTAAAAAAACAAATGTCCAGCCTAGTCTGAAGACAATATAGACATACTCATAGATAATTTTAAGAGGTTTGTCAACGGAATCAATTTCGAAGGTATCTACAAAATCTGTGAGTGATAAGTGTTGTAATAATCAAAATATCCCCATTTTGATGGCTCTTGTAGTGAAAGTCACTGAAAACACACTTGACATGCAGTAATAATAACATAAAACCATTTAAGAATCTAATGTTAGACTTTTATGTCAGACAGCGTCATGTCAAACACGTGTTATCGTTCAAGTTTTGAAGCTATTTGTTACCCAGCTGCACAGAGATGCCCCACTGGGGGCAATTAGGATTGCGCCACTGGGAGCAATAAGGATTGATGATGATGATGATGATGATGATGTAGAAAGGTGTCTGCTGGTTTTTTTCAATTGTTGTTGTTGTTACTGGCTTGAAAAATAAAAATGACTTAACATAATAGACAACTCCAAATTTTTAGCTTTGTAACAAAATCAGCTTGGATTTTTTATCGTTGTTGAGTCGAAGATATTTACTTTTCAGTTAGAAAAAGCTGTTGAAAATTTGGTATATTTCATCGTTAAGAAAATTATAACTTCGCACCGTTTGAGGTAAAATATATGAATTAGACTAAAATTAACATGCAAAAATATTATCAGCCAGTTGGGGAATGCTAACATCCGCGAATTCGAATGTAAGGGTATGGTGATTGCATGTACGATCTGACCTGTGAGAAAGATATTTTCTCGCATCTGGTTTCTGTTGTCCAATATCCATTGAAACTAACACTTCCATGTGTAACATCGGGTCGATCTTGAAAGGCCAGCCAGTTGATAACTCCACTGTCATTTGATGGAATTCCCGACTCGCGGACACACACCTCGAACCAACTTGTAGTGACAGAATGAACCCACAAAGCTGAAGGCGAGTGAACATTTGAAAACTGCTCGCCATGACTCAATGTAACGTGAACGTGAACCTGGAAGTTAATTTAAAGGTAACATAAAATCAAATAAACATACAATGTAAAAACAATTGGTAATGACGTTACTTGTGATTTGTAAACAGTCAATGACAGATACTGAACTGCTAGTGAGATTTTCAATCGCCATCAGAAAGGAAATCCTTACTTTCAAAATTCGAAAAATAAAATAATTAAAGATGAAAAAAAAAAAACAAAGGAAGGGATTTTATTCACCCTTAAACCCCTTCACCGTATACTAAAGATATAAACTGCACTTGCAATATCGTTAAGGAAGCAATTTGCCAATGCAGAGCCAGTTCTTTGTCTCTGGGGTCAGGTCTCGCGTCGAATACCTTGGAGGTTTAAATCACGTGGGGTGACCTTGGGCACGTACCTTTCCTGAGCCACTGAAAGCAACAGGAAATGCAATGTTTGTACAAGATCTTAATCTGCAGTCTTGAGGAAGAGAACATCCACTGTTGCAACTCCAGTCTGGTAACGTCTGTGATATGTTGAGCTTTCCAGTTTGTATCGAGTTTCCTACAAAGTAGAAATGAAACGAAGATAACTAGAAACTTGGGGAGGGGACAAAATGCGACGGTTATCTTAACGAGCTCGGCGTTCCCAACAAGGCTTAAGCTGCTTTTGTGACCTTGAGTGCAATAATATTTTCCTTTAGAGAACAATCTGTGAGAAAGCGCGTGCTAAGAGCTCTACTTCTATAACTCAAAACATAACTAGCTCGAGGTATTTACGTAGTGATGGTGAGAGCAAAGAAAATTTGCAATTTGATATCGAACACACGGCAGATTTTTCTTTCTTTTCTTCGCAGTGTTTCCTAAAGAAAACTGGGACTGCCATTATTTAAATAATGTGTAACAAACGCGGTGGTCAGTTTTGACACTATGCCGAGTGTTTGCTTTTCTTTCTTGTATTTAAAGAAAATAAACTTGAAGCTGGCGTGGAGTTGTCACAACATTGCTTTTGTTCCCGATCTTAATCACGTCTTGTTTTCTATCGACCAAAATAGCAACGTTGAAACAAGACAATTTGAACACACCAACAGGAAATTGGCTGTATATGAACCAAAGTACGTAAGATTTTTCAACCAGGAATTGATGATTTCCTTTGCCATTGTAGAGCAATTTTCGTTAAATTCAGAAATGGAATGAGGAAAGCATTTCAAAGGTAAATGCCTACTAGGCTATAAAGGGGGGGCGTGTGCTTAGTGAATTCACTTTGTTGCAAGATGAAAAGGTATTCAGCTCTTGAAGTGCTCTTATTATTTTATTTTTCCATTATATAGTTTTGGGGAATTTTTAGCACAAACATGCTGCGAGATGCTCTAAAAAGTTTTTAAGCAATGTCGAATTTGTTTTTTAATGCATTTTGAACAAAGTAGAACCGCGGTAGTCACGTGATATAAATGAATGATACCAATATCTACCAAAACGCCAATTGTGACTCGGCAAAATTTTTGATCACCAATGCGTGTTGCAAATTAAGTCACTTCGTTTCTGNGGTGCTTTCTTCGGGATTAGCTCTATACAATGGAAAACCTCCCCCAAATTTACCAATTGTGGATGACTGCTTTTTGTTTCATATTTCCAGCAAATTTTTTCTACATACTACATCAATCAAAATGAAATCAATAAAGATGGCGAACTGAAGCAGTTTTCTAGACAGTATTATAGGTAGTTTGCAGAAATAAAAGTGACCCTAATTCCTTCATCACAGTCAGACGAGATCGTAAGAAAGTCCAAAAACATAAAACAGTTGAGCCCGGCTGGGAATTCCAAATAGCGGGAGTTTGAAATAGCCGATAGTAAATGACTGAAAAACAAATCCAGGAGAAATGGTTTTGAGTGCGAATATGGTGAATTCAAAATAATCGAGCTCGAATTAACGGGGCTGGGTCCGGCGCTACTGTACATTTGTTTAACAAAGAAAACACTGCGAAAGCTAGATATAATGTTTCTCTTATATCACAAAACAATTTTCACATCATTAGCACAAAGGTTATCGCGGGCCTACCTTCCACTAAGAGAGAGGGATTTCCGACTTGGAAAATAAAAACCAGCAAAGCTGGTATCGAAAGCGCAACATTTATCATGCCCATCTTTTCTGCTTATCGTTAACTTGGATATGGGCTGTTCCCCGAGAAAGTCAGTCTCTTGTAGTGGTAGAACTGAATTCTGATTGGCTTAAGATGGCACCTACCTCATTGACCTTATAGCTTTTTCCAGAGAACAAAAAAAGATGTGATAAATAAGATGTTCTCAGAGAGGCAGACATGCACTCGAACTTGATACAGAGCAGAATGTTAAAACAGATAACAAATATTTGCTATGACGATAATAAGAGGAGAAATGACGGGATGGCGAAAGACATTCGTTTACTAAGGCACGAACTTTAATTTCTACCGTCAGTGGAGTGACATCAAAAAGACAAAATGTCAGTTGTTGTAGGAAGAGTGAAAGCTTGTTAAGATAACTTGCGTATTTTGGTTCAATTTCGGTTCAGACGTCAAAATTCACAAGTGCCGAATGCATACATTACAGATGCATTATATAAGTTATATT